AAGTCAGTTTGATCTAGCTTGATTTTTATTTTTGGTTCAGGACTTGAAAAGGAAGAGATAATTTGTGCCAAACAGGAGCTGGGACAGAAAAAAAAAACTTGTCTGACCACTAATGGTTATCATTGGATCAAAATTCTTATGGAACAGAAACTTGGCTGCTTATAGACCTACAGGTAATGTCTTATCCAATATCTGTTCTTTTATAACAGTATTGCCCATCGCTTTGTGGTAAACCCTTGTTTTAGTGCTTGTTGTGTCTTAGTATTCGTTTCTGAAATTTGCATAAACAATTCAACTAAAGCTTTTTTACCAGAATTGTGATGATAGGTGAAATGTACCATGTCTTTTAACCGTATTTGAGTATTGTACATTCCGACTCTTGAGAATTTAGAGGAAGGGGGATAGTCTTATTGGGCTATCACTAGTAGATTAAATGGTACAATTGACACTGATTAAATCTCTTTAGAGGAATGATTTATAGAGTTCATATGTTTTGGGTTTTTTTTTTATTTGAGGGGAATGGTACAATTTAAAGGGTCGTGATAGATTAAGGTGCATGAAGATACTAAGTACTGATTAAATCTTCCTTTAATAAACTACTTGACACTGAAATTCTAAATATGACCCAAATTATTACATTTTTCTATAATTATTCTGTCTGAAAGGGTCATGATAGACAAATTGAATTAATGGATTGAAGACAATTCACCTTGTATTAAATTTGTGCAATATGGTTGTCGGCTTTGAGTATATTCTGTTGCCTTGTTGCTTGTGTCAGCTTTGTGAGGCATGTGAAACTTCTGGATCAACTAGTTGTATGCTGTGTCACTTCAAAGCTAACTTTGTTTCTTTTATTCTTTGCAGAGAGGTAGCTAAAGGATTGATGAAATATTGGCAAGATATAATCATTAGTGTGCATCCGTTGATGCAACATGTTCCACTTCGTATCTTGAGGGGCAGGGGTCTCCTTTAGAAAATTGTCTTTACTATAGTAGTTACAGACTAGAGCACCTGTCATCCTACCTGGTAGGTTGTGCGGTTTCCTTTATATAGGTTTTATGTTTGTATTTTGTAACAAGACCGGGACATTGGTCCCCGGCCTTTCTTTTTCTTCCTCCTTGTAGGTTTCATAAGCTTGTAACAAGGTGCTACTGCCCTTCAAATGAGGTGGCTAAAAGAGCAACAAAAGCTGGTCTTCAGCCTTCCCAAATAAAAGTTTATGGACTTCCTGTGCGGCCATCCTTTGTTAGGTCTGTTAGGCCAAAGGTCTGTGTACCTATTCATATCATTCTTTCCCTGTACTCCATTTCTTGTTTATTGTTGGTTATATTATTATGTTTCTGGATAATTATATATCTTTGCCTTGACATGTAATCTGGTTTGGCTGTGTACTAAAGTTTGCCATTTATGTTCTGGTTAAGTTTGGCTACTCTATAACAAGCTTAATTATTAAGTTTGATATACACTTTTTTGGTAATGTTATGGTATTGGTGTTTTATATTCTGCTTATTGCTGATGCAATTGTTTCATGGATTCTCTCCAAGAAATTATGTTGTTTCTCCGTATTCTGTTGTGTTGATAATTTTGCCCTTAATGTTGACATAAAGGGTTTCTGGTATAAGCAGCTGGTGATATTGTTTTTAATTTTTTTTTGTTTTCCACAGCCTGAGTTACGCAAGGAACTTGGAATGGATGAGCATCTTCCTGCTGTTTTGTTGATGGGAGGGGAAGGCATGGGTCCCATTGAGGCTACTGCACGAGCATGAATTTATATGTTTTTTTTTGAAGTTTTTTAAAGTGTAATGTTACAAGTGAACAAAATATGTGTTTTATGTATATTAGTATTATATATAAGTATTTGGTACAATTTAATTGACAAAAATGCAAAACAAAAAAAAAATTATTTTTTATTTTTTTGGGGTATATTTGGCACCGGTTTTGAACCGGTGCGAAATCTATGGGGTTTTAGCACCCCCCAAATCCAGACCGGTTCAAAACCGGTGCGAAATGGGGGGTTTGAACCGGTGGGGAATGCGTATTTTCGCCTAGTGACTTGTAATTTTGAAGTCCCCAATATGTTAAAGATCCAATCTTTAATTGTTTATTTGGTTGGAACTTTAATTGCTAAATTCCATGTTTAACTAATTTTTGGATTTAATCATTTTTGAGTTGATTAAAGTCCTAAAAGTTCAAAACTTGTTAATGAAATTTAATTAAAATTCATATTGGAAGATGTAATTTTTCAATTATACACAAGTTAGTGTTGAAAATTTTTTCACTGGATGAAAGGGTTTAATTATCCAACCTCTTTAATTTTGTCAAATCTCATTATTAATTTATACTTCGTTAAATTAATTATGAGGGTAGCCCTTCAATTTCGAAGCATCAAGATAGAGCTAAATTGATTTAAAGAATGGTTCTTGAATAATTTAGGCTTGTGCACTATTAAAATTGAATTTATTTAAGTTAGACTTGTTATATTTTCATTCTTGCTCAATGTTGATTATAAAATTAATTTAGAATCATTTTTATGTCACACATATATCAGGATTAAAATCTCGAGAAAAAAGCACGTAAATTGAGGTAAAATCACCTAAGCGCCACCAAGGCTAGCCTAGGTGCGCATGGAGGTTCTCCTACCTCAAGATGATGCTGTTGTGTGGCGCGCAGGGAGTGCACACTAGGTGCGTGCTTGCTGCGTGGTGTGTGGCTGCTAGACGATGCTCGCAAGAGTTGCTTGGCAGCAAGACAGCGAGCCCTAGCAAGCCCAGCCACACATTGCCAGCGCCAGCATGCATGAAAGCATGCGTAGCATGCTGCGATGCTGCTGGTGCCAGCAGGCGTAGCGTGCCTTGCTAGCCAGGCATGCCTGTGCCCAAGTACGCATAAGCTGCAGCCTTGGTGCCTAGCAAGCCTAGCCCCATGGCTAGGATGCTAGGCACTCGGTTTTAGTGAGTTGATTTTTACGTTACGTGGGCTATGTGTTTTGCGAATTTTTGCCGTTTTAATTATTTTACTTAATTATTTTAACGAGGCTAGGCCTAGAATCCTCCGGCATTTGCAAAATAATTTTGACAAGATTTGGGTTAACCGACTTAATTAATTGGATTAACTAAGTTGGATGCGAAATTTAGTGGGAGCTTTGTTAATTGGATGGACTAATTGCGTCTTAATCACGTAAAATGGTTAACAACTTTGACTAGTTTTAATTAGGCGCGTTAATTGGATTAACCACCTAAGTTAGTTACTAGTTCGCGCGTGTTATAAATTGTTACTTGTTTTTCGTTGTAAAATGCATGGGCCATTCACATATAGTGAATGGATGAATGGAATGTATATTGTTTCACAGGTTTTTTGAAAATGACAACTAGTGGGGCTTGATTAAGATAGTAAATACGAACTGTGATTCATTATGTATTATTGTAAATCTAAATACGGTCTGCATACCGTTGCGTATTTTTATACCTTAATATTTAGATTAATCCTAGTCTTAGTAGCTAGTAGTTGCATATTTGGCGGAGATGTCTCAAGACGACGTTTCTATGAAGACAAGCCAAGATGGTGCATCAAAGACCCTTGAAGATTTGAAGAATCAAGGGGTCATGCTAGTTGCCAAATGCATCTTGTTATACATATTATGTTTAAATATGCTTGAATTGTATGATAGATGCATGTTTAGAATTTCAAATGTTGCAATGATTAATTAAATTCACTTAAATCAACCAACATAGAAACCCTAGGTCCCTATAATATTGAGCCAAAATTTGCCATTCCAAGAACGACATTTACCGAACTAATGCGCGTGGTGATGGGCTATGCTAGAGTGAGGCATCACCGCTTCCCTAGGAACGTAAGGTATACTAGGTATACAAGTCGTCTTGGTTAAGCTCAAAATTATCAATAAGGAGTCCTTAGATGTCGTGACAATGGAGATAAAATGTCAAGGAAGCATTAGATGCGACGTTTTATCGAACCAAGAGTAGCTTGGAGCTATTAGCAATTAGATTGCTTACCCTAAAATATTAAGTGTTAAGACAAGCCAAAGCATGCTTAATCACTTTTTGATTTTAAGGATCTTGGAATCATTTTATTCTCGCCTAAAAGGGACTAATGTTAATGCGTGGATAAAATGCTCAGTAAGATTGAAAATTTGCATGAACGCTTTAAATTTCAAACTTATTGGTTTATGAATGGTTTTTCATTTCAAATTCTTTCAATTGTAGAAACATGTCTGCAAATTACTTAAACAACCAGTTTTCATTACGCTCAATTTTCAACAAGGAGAAGTTGAGTGGGCCAAATTTTCTTGATTGGCAAAGGAACTTGCGTATAGTTCTCATGTAAGAACAAAAGGATTACGTCCTTGATGAGGAAATTCTTGACACTCCCAATGAGGAGGTCTCTCAGGCTGCCCTTAACCGATGGCAAAGTGCCAATCGGGATGTCAAGTGCATCATGCTTGCCACTATATCTCCGGACCTTCAAAAGACTTTCTTTAAAAAGGAGACGACTTTTGAGATCATTTCTGAACTTCAGAATATGTTTCAAGAGCAGGAACGAACTGAAAGGTTTGAAACCCACAGGAAGATCCTAGAGAGCAAGCTTAAGAAAGAAGAGCTAGTCACCCCGCATGTTCTTAAAATGATTGGATTATTTGAGAACATGGAAAGGCTTGATTCTTGGTGCTCAACCAAGATGGAAATTGACATCATTTTCCACTCACTGCACAAAGGCTATGATCATCAGTTCAAGATGAACTATAATATGCATAGCATGGAGAAAACTCTCACCGAGCTTCATGGTATGTTAAAGTAGGCCAAGCAAACCCTCAAGGATGAGGGGAAGCATGACATGATCATGGTGAGAAAGGGAAAGCCATTTAAGCGCTTGAGCAAGAAGAGAAGCTTTAAAGGGAAAAAGAAGAAGAATTTTTCGCCTAAGTCAAATTCTGCTAAGAGCGGCAAGGACAAGAAGGCAACCTCTTTTAAATCCAATTCTGAATGTTCTACTACAAGAAGAAAGGACATTGGAAGCGGGATTGCCTCAAATTCAAGGAAGATAAGAAGAACGACACCATTGCTTCTGTACCAGGTATTTTTGTTATAGACTTAAACTTCGCTAGCAAAACATCATGGGTATTAGATACTGGATGCGACTCACACCTTTGTTCCAATGATCAGGGACTAAGGATCAATAGAAGGCTAAAGAAGGGAGAGGTCAAGCTTCGGGTTGGCAATGGAGCCAGGATGTCCGCCGTATCCGTTGGAACTCTCAGTTTGTCTTTGCCCTCTAGGAATGTTTTAGAACTTGACAATTATTATCATGTTCTAAGAGTTACCAAAAATATTATTTTAATTTCGGCGTTGGACGCCAAGGGATTTGAATTTCGAATCAAGAACAATAGTTGTTCGTTTTATTTCGATAATGTTTTATATGGTATGGCATATTCAGAAAATGGTCTTTATGTGCTTTCTCTAGAAAAACAAGTTTATAACATTAATGATACCGCCAAAAGAGCTAAGACCATTGAGTCGAATCAAACCTACTTTTGGCATTGTCGTCTTGGCCACATTAACATCAAACACATTAAGAAACTTCTTCATGAGGGTATTCTTGATTCATTCGACTTGGAGTCGTTTGAAAATTGCGAAGGATTTCTGGTAGGCAAGATGATAAAGTAGTCATTTTCCAAGTTGGGAGAAAGGGCTAGTGACTTATTAGGTCTAATACATACGGATGTATGTGGACCAATGAGTTTACCTACAAGGAATGGTTGTCGATATATCATTATCTTCACGGAAAAATATAGTAGATATGTCTATGTCTACCTAATGTCGAACAAATCTAAATCTTTTGAGAAATTCAAAGAGTTTCAGAGTGAAGTTGAAAATCAGCTTGGCAAGAAAATCAAAGCACTTAGATCGGATCGAGGTGGCGAGTATTTGAGCCATGAATTAAACGATCACTTGAAAGAAAATGGTATTCTTTCAGAGTTGACACCTCCCGGAACTCCGCAATGGAACGAAGAGTCCGAACGGAGGAAGCAAACCTTGTTAGACATGGTTCGATCAATGATGGGTCTTAGTGAACTTCATATCTCTTTCTGGGGACATGCACTTCTAACTGCGACACTAACACTGAACCGTGCTCCATCAAAAGCTGTCGAAAAGACTCCATATGAATTATGGACGACGAAACCTCCACGGTTGTCTTTTCTTAAGATTTGGGGTTGCGAAGCATATTTCAAGAGATTAATTTCTGAAAAACTTCACCCAAAATTTGATAAGTGTTTCTTTATGGGGCTACCTAAAAGAAACCTAGGGGTATTACTTTTACAACAAATCCGTGAACAAAGTGTTTTTTGCTCGTGATGGTGTCTTTTTGGAGAAGGAACACCTTTCCAAAAAGACAAGTGGGAAGAAAATCAAACTCGACGAATATCGAGAGGTCGAGCAACAAAGTCAACCTGACAAAAATGACAATCAAAGTGCTTTAAATGCAGCTAATGACATTCATTAGAGTCAAACCGATAATGCAAATGCTCAACCTATTACCATGTGTAGGTCGCAACGGCCAAGATCTTAACCGGACAAATACCTTGGTATTGTCTTAACCGAAAATCAAGACATCCTAGTTATGGATGGAGATGAGCCATCAACTTACAAACAAGCTATGACGAGCACCGACTCGGCAAAATGGCAAGATGCCATGAAATCCGAGATGGACTCCATGTTTGAAAATCAAGTCTAGGACTTGGTTAATTTGCCCAAAGGTTACAAACCTATTGGCTGTAAATGGATTTTCAAGTTAAAATCAGACAAAGATGGAAATGTATCTATATACATTGCTAGACTAGTGGGAAAATGTTACAGGCAAATTCACGGCGTTGATTATGATGAAACCTTTTCGCCGGTGCAATGCTTAAGTCCGTCTGGATTATCCTAGCGATTGCTGCATATTACGATTATGAAATATGGCAAATGGATGTCAAAGCCGCCTTCCATAATAGGATTTTGAAAGAAACTGTGTATATGACACAACCGGAAGGTTTTGTTGATCCAAGAAATGCTGGGAGGGTATGCAAGCTTAAGAAGTCCATTTATGAACTAAAGCAGGCAAACAGAAGTTGGAATCTGCGATTCAAAGAAGCCATTAGTAAGTTTGGTTGTATCAAGAATCCAAATGAGTCTTGTGTTTACAAGAAGGTTAGTGGGAGTGACATCGCATTCCTAGTCTTATATGTCAAGGACATATAACTCATTGGAAACAACACTTAATGTTTAGTGTCCGTAAAAGGCTGGCTTGGTAAGTGCTTTTCAATGAAGGACTTAGGAGAGGCACAATACATATTGGGCATCAAGATCTATAGGGATAGATTTAAAAGGATGATTGGATTAAGACAAAATACTTATATTGATAAGGTACTGGCACGATTCAACATGGAAGGGGCCAAGAGAGGGAACCTACCCATGTCACATGGCATAACTCTCTGCAAGAAACAGTGTCCACAGACACCTGATGGGCAAGAGAGGATGAGTCAGATTCCATATGCTTCGCTTATTGGATCGATCATGTATGCCATGATATGTACTAGGCTGGATGTATCGTATGCCTTGAGTGCTACGATCCAATACCAATTAGACCCAGGAGAGGCGCATTGGACTGCGGCTAAGAATATCCTAAAGTACCTGAAAAGGAACAAGGATAAGTTTCTAGTCTATGGTGGCTGCAATGATTTGGTTGTTGAAGGTTCTGACGCAAGCTTCCAGACTGACAGAGGCGACTCCAAGTCGCATTCAGGGTACATATACTACCTAAATGAAGGAGCATTTAGTTGGAAAAGTGCTAAGAAAAGCACCACTGCAAATTCTACAATTGAAGCCGAATACTTGGCAGCTTCGGAAGCAGCTAAGGAGGCAGTTTGGATTCGTAAGTTCATTAGTGAACTTGGTGTTATAACCTCTATAAAGGGTCCAATAGACCTCTATTGTGATAACAATAGAGCTATTTCTCAGCTCAGGGAGCCAAGGGAACATCAAAAGGTCAAACATGTCAAGCGGCGATTTCACATGATAAGGGAATGGGAATCCGAGGGTGAAATCGGAATTTGTAAGATAGGAACGGACGACAATGTAGCCGACTCATTGACTAAACCTTTGCCTCAAGTGAAGCACAACAAGCACGTTGAGGCAATGGGAATCAAGCATGTTGGAGATTGGCTTTGATTTCCATGTATATGTGTTTTAATTAAACTTGATGTCTTAATGTAAAACACTATGTTGAACCATTCGGTTTTGGAGCAATTAAATTTTCAGCAAATATTTTATTACTCCATTTCTATTTAATTGTGGTTTAAAATTAAATAATAAGTCCATTTGATTACTGAGAATATTCAAAACAGGGTATCAAGACCATGTCTTGGACAAAGAAACACCTGTTAAGTGAACATTGAATATTTTAATCGAAAATTATCCCTTATCAAGGTCATTTAAATGATGGACGATTACTGCCCACTAGAGATTAGTGTGTAGTATGATTTATAGCACTGTTTCTTGTGCTACGAGGACATGATTGTTGTTTCGGGGTTTTTTGATGTCCTCCGGGAGAGTTACAATTCTGGGACTGGATCCTTGTGCCTGTACCTGCAAAACAACGGAGACTCCGGGTGGTGGGAGCTCCGCCTCCAACGATCAAATTAGTACTTGTATGTGGAGTAAAAGGTGTGGAAAGTAAAGAGGGTGATCTGGTTCCTCGGAAGGGAGAAGTGATCGGGGAGTGCAAATAATGCTAAGTCAGGTCTAGCGATTAGTATGCACGTGTGTTTAGGCTTCTCTTGGTGAGAGTAATTAATTCTCAATATGTTTAATGAAGGCTTATTACTGTATTTATAGCCTCGAAGTACGTGCCCAATACTAATTTAAATGGTAAACCTAGGACTGATTGGGCTTGCCTCGGGATTCGGGCCCGGTTGGCCGTTTTCCAGGTTGGCAGATAGTGAGCCACGTGGCATAACGCGATTGGTCCTTGTTGGACCTCCAGAAGTATGACACGTGGCAGTCCCTGATTGGTCCACACGGATGACACGTGGTAGGTGCTAATTGGCCCACGTGGCGGGGAAAAATCCCCTAAACATTTTCCCCTCACAGGGGTCACGTGACTTGTCACGTGATGCCTGTGACAGGTGTCGACCCATAACCAGGCGACGGCCTGTGACATGTGTCAACCTGTGGTAGGCCGTCTGTTTTTTTTCCGCCTATTTTTTAATTTTAGGGGGTGACCCTTCAAATTCTCGAATAACCCTATATAAGGGCATGTTGACCAAGGTCTTGTTCACATTTGTGAACTTTGCAAGAGAACTTGTGCCCTGAGACTTCCGGACGACTGATTATCGATCGGCTGTTTTCGCTAGCCGACTGTTTGTGGTGACCGGCTGCTTCAGACTTCCATCCTCTATTCTCAAAAAACATACTTCAGGTAACTGTCTATTTTGCTCTTGCACTTTTTCATTTCTTTGCATTTTTCTTTTGAAGATATGGTATCCCAAAAGCACTCGACACGACCTAGGTTAGTGATTAGTCGGTCACCGGGAACGGCTGAATCTAGGACTAGGAGTGTCGCCTGCCCCTTTAGGACCAATCTCTGCCCTGTGCTCCAAGTCTGACTGTCTCTATGTCTGTGCAGGACACTATGGCCAGAACAAAGAGGACGGCTAGATATACAAATTCGTATGGCTCCTCATATTATGTTCAGATGAGCGAGCTCTCGGACCAGCCGCCTGGTCCTCCAAGCACTCTGAGTGATTCAATTTTGGGAATATCGGAGGAGCTTAAAGGGGCCACTCCCATGCTTATTGATATGTTAGGACTGGAGCCGGTCCTTTCTGAGAAAGAGGAGTCGGCCTCCTCTGAGAGCTCAAGTGATTCTGAGTCCAGCTCATCCAGCCGGCAGTCTCATGCGGTTGAAAAGGGAGTCGGCTGAGATAAGTCGTCTGCTTCTCATAGAGAGTCAAACACTCCCTTCTATTGTCATGTCCCAAAAGGCCAAATTAAGGCCATGGCCGAGAGGTTAGGGACATTTCAGGAGGACCATGTAATGGGTCATGACTACTTTCTATCTGTGCCGGATGTTGAGGATACAGTAGTCTGGCCGGAGGGGGCCAGTTATGGGGACGCCTGTTTTGGCTGCTATGAGGCGGCCATTAAGGCTGGGTAAGATTCCGTTTGCATCCGGCTATTCAACAAATCCTGGATGGATACCAGGTGGGGCTCTGGCAGTTGGCCCTAAACTCATGGTACAACATTCTGGGCTTCGTAGCTGGCTGTGAAATGTATGGGGTTGAACCGAATTTTGCAGCGTTCGCCCAAATGAACTATCTGAGTTAGACCCCAAAAGCAAGCGGTACCGGGTGGTACCAGATTTCCAGCCATAAGGGCTACTTGATGACAAGGGGAAGGAGAACAAGTGGAAGGACTGAAGGAACAATTTCTTCATTGTTTCTAGCCCCAACAAACTCCTTAACAAGAGGTCCAATAGGTGGAACAGGGATCCGCCTCTCCTCGTAGGTGGCTCTAGCCTGCCGCCTGTTCCTCATAAAGCCAAGGAGGAGATCCTTGATCAAGGTCTCTTCAAAGTAGAGATCAGAGCCAACTCTGCTATAGGGGTATGAGAGTTAATCCCCTTAAACTGCATACCCAAATTCAATTGGTTGTATGACGAATATTTCTTGGCCGCCCGTGGCCTTAGTGAACGGACCCCTAGAGGTAGTCGGCCCCTTTTATGTTCTTACATTTGTCTTACTTGAATTTCTACTAACTTTGAGATGCCTTTGCAGACAAAGACATGGACAAGATCTCTGCTTCCAAGAAGGTGGTCGCCCTTCTTCGCGCGGCTATAATTAGCCAGAAGCGGCCTTCTACCGACTCTCCCTCAAAGGAGACGTCCAAGGTGAGCCTTCAAACTTGGTCATGCTCTTAGCATTACTTTTCTTCTTTCTTTTTTTTCTTTTTTTTTTAAAATGATCTTGACATCTTGTTGCAGGGTGGGGCACTCAGACCCTCTCCCTCGGAGCAACCGAACCCCAAGGTTCGAAAGCAGATGGCCAGGAGTACGCCTGGTTCTTCCAGGAAACAACCGTCTGATAAACAGGCGTGGACCCCCCAAAGTGGGGCGAAACAAACAACCATCCGTAGGGACACTCGGCCTCCAAGAGGTATAACTGATTTCTTAAATTACCTTGTCAATTTAAACATTCTAAGGTCAGGCGACCTGTTGCTTCCCTCTTATATGATAAATTTTCCATACTTCTTATTGCAGGCGGCCATCAGGAGCTTGACTTGGTCCAGATGGCCAAGTCTATGGTCAAGGCCATTCCCTTAAATGAAAGGGAAACGGTCAGGGGAGTCGGTACCCTTGACTTGGACTCTATCATGGGTCTACTCTCGGAGGTAAACTTGATGAATTTTCTTTGTCATTAGACAATCATTAGCATTTAACTGCCACCTATTTTTTGAAAGATTCTGACGCCTGTTTTGTTGATTCACAGGCCTTTCTTCGCATACATGGTCTCCGCCACCCATCAGCGAAAAGAACAAGGAGGTAAAGGCTGCAAAGGCCATGACCGCTTCTGATTGTGACCGGGTAATGTTTCAGATTGCTCAGAATGAAATTTTGACAACTGACATCTTGTATTATCAGGCGGCCGCCACCTTGCAGGTCAAAGACAAATTAGAGGCGACCAAGAAGAACAACTTAGAGCTAGAGAAGGCAGTCAAGGATCTTCAGGACCAGCTGCAACCGCTTAAACATGTAAAACATGCGGCCGATGAGCTCAAAAAGCTCAAGGAGCCCCTGGCCAGCCAAGAGGAGACCTTGTCCAAGCAACTCAGTGCTAAGGCCGAGACTAAGAAAATGGCCCTGGCCCAAGATATGATGGAGGACGCCTCAAACATTATGAGGATGACCTGGACTGCCCTCTTCCCGGACTTAGGCTATAAGCAATGGGAGTCCAAATTCGTCGCCTGCACTGAAGAGTATAACATCAAGATTATGAAGCAGCCGGCTGATGAGGATGAAGAGAAGGATGAGGCAGCCGACACCTCTTCTGATGGTGAGGATGGGAACGAAGAGGAGGAGGAGGAGGCGGACGTCGACAAGGGGGAGACTGAGAAAGAGGAGGCGGACGCTAATCAAAATCAGGCGCCTGCTAATGAGCCACAAGAGAATGTGCTAGAGGAGCAGGCGCCCATTGCCAAAGCTGATCAGGCGGCCGCCATTAATAAAACCCTCTTCTCCAATGCTTAGCTGTTTATTTTTTGAACTCTTCTTTGGCCTGCGAGACGTTTGTTCTTGTATCTTTTTACCCAACCAAGGGGTCGGGGTCTATAAATATCTTTGCCAGTCTTTCTGGCCGGCTGTTTATATATGAATGTGACGACTGTTTGGTCGTCTTGTCCATAAATCTTTATTTTGTTATTTCCCTTTTCCTAATCTTTTTGCCAAGTATAGAATTTTTTGGTAGCCGCTTGTTTATTATACCGACTATTCTTGCTTGTTGTCTTCCTTTTTGCATCAAAATTTGCCATTTGAATGTTTTTGGATGTTTGAATGTTGCTAAAAATAGAAGACATCTTTGTGGGTGTCGCAATTGATTGAAATATTATTTCCCCTGGCCGACTGATTGTTTCTTTATCAGTCAGTCGGTCATGAGTTTAGTCGGCCTTCCCTTGAGAGATTGGAATAACTGACTTTCTAGACTTGGATTATTTTAGGAACATTATCTAGGCCTCCTGTTGGTTGCATTTGGGCACAGGCGACTGTCTTGAGGATTTCGAGCAATGGTCGTAGTAGACCTTAGCAGGGTTCCCCAAGCTTTGGACCATTGTAGGTAGCCGCCTAGTTGAGGAACAGTCGCCCTATTTCAATAGGCCTGGCTTCGTTTTTATCAGGGCATTATCTAGGTGGTTGGACGCCAAGTTTGGTGGAAACAGGCCGTCAGTAAACGGGACGCCTGTATTGTTGGGATTGGCTGTTTTTGCTACAGACGTTCCCTTATGGGGTCTATAGGGAACCGTATTGAAGGGCCACCTGTTTTCAAGAACAGGCAGTCATTTCATACTTTTGGTTCAATTCTAGGGAGGGCGACTGGGTATCTAGTCAACACTCGTCTAATTTGAGTAGTAGGAGGGTCAAGCAGCGGAGGCTGCTTGACTTCCTTTATTTGCCAAGTTTTGCTTGGCTATTAACCCAAATTATGCCAAAATGTTTTGGCAGTGTACAGACCGCATGTTGTTTGGTAGAGACAGGTCGCCTGTTCTTGTGAACGAGGCGCCTGGTTTGTACAACTGTGCCTGTATTGGTGGACCTAGTTGGAATAGTGGCCAAGTACCTTTGTTTGCCAGAAAACAAATGTACTTGTACCTTTTAGGTTCCAAACTAGACTGATTTGAGTTGTAGAGGTACCGGGCGGCGTAGGCCGACTGGCCCCCTTGATTCGCCAAGTTTTGCTTGGCTATTAACTCAAAAGGTACCGCCTGCATTTATCCCAAGTAATGACAGGCAGTCATCCGACTCAGATGTAAACTGATAACCACTGGTTCGGTTAGTGGTAGTAGCTATCTTTGCCTCAAATGTAACTGGTTACATGGTCCTTGGGGACAGTCGTTTTGGGTCATTTGTTTGGTTTATAGAGCATGATTCCACCCAAAAGGGAGCTGCTCTCTGCAACGAATCTCATTCAGAGGGATGTTGGCGGACGCCTGCTATAATGTTGGGACAGGTCATATTAGTTTATTTTTAAGATTGGATCAGTCGGTTTGATGCCTGTGCTGATCATCCGACCTTAGGCCTTGTTTAGTTCATGGTGAACGTAGATGCTAAGTTACCTTAGTCTTAGGATTATAGGAGAGTAGCCGTCTGTTTTAGGTTCAGGCGGCGTGCCTCTCTAATAAGTAATACACATTGGAGAGTAGCCGACTGCAAATGTACAGGCGGCATGCCTCTCTAATGAAGAGTAAAATACACTTTTGAGAGTAGCCGCCTACAATTGTACAGGCGGCATGCCCCTCTACTGACCACAAAGTATTGAAAATAATTGCAAGTTTTATTAATAACCCATGTACAATTAAATCATTCAGAAGTAATACTTCTTCAAATTGTCTACATTCCATGTTCTAGGTAGGAGCCGGCCGTCTGCTGTTTCCAAGCGATAGGTGTCGTCTCTAACCTCTTCATAGATCCGGTAAGGTTCTTTCCAGTTGGGAGTTAGTTTTCCCAACTCATTAGCCCTACCGACTACTTCCATTTTCCGTTGTACAAAGTCCCCCACTTTCAATGAACGCTTGTGTACTTTCTTGCTATAAGCTCTTGTCATTCTCAGACGGTAGATCTCATGGCGTAGGGCTACGTTGCCCCTACGATCGGGGAGTGAATCCAATGCTAGGCGCATGGATTCCCAATTGGCCGCCTCGTCATACAGCATGACACGAAGAGTCGGCTCATAATGCTCAATGGGTAGAACAACTTCTGCCCCATAGGTCAAGAGGAATGAGGTTTCCCCAGTCGCCCCTTTTTCAGTCGTCCTTATGACCTAGAGAACATGTGGTAGTTCATTTGCCCATAGGCCGCCTGCTTTTTCATTTTTTTTTCTTGATACCATCAGAGATGATCTTGTTGAACGCTTCTACCTGCCCGTTTGCTTAGGGTCGGCCAACTGATGCAAAGTTGTATGCAATTCCTTGATCCCTCAACCAGTTCTTGAGAACAGGCATCTCGAACTGAGGACCATTATCAAAGACCATTGACATAGGCACCCCAAATCGTGTAATGATGTTCCTCCAAATGATTGAGATAACCTCCTTGGTCTTGATACCTTTGACAGCCTCAGCCTCTACCCATTTGGTAAAGTAGTCGACTGCTACCAGGATGTATCTCCGGCCAACTGTTGCAGGTGTATACGGACCCAAGACGTCCATGCCCCACTTGGCGAATGGTAAGGGGCTATGTATGGCCGTCAGATCAGTGGCCGATCGATGGATTAGCTTCCCAAACCTCTGACACTTGTCGCATTTTTTCACCATCTCCATAGCGTCTGCTTCCAGGGTTGGCCAGAAGTATCCCTGCCGCTTGGTTCTACGAGCTAAGGACCTGCCGCCTACATGGGAGGCGCAGTATCCCGAGTGCAAGTCCTCTAAGATCTCTAGCCCCTTTTCCGGGGTGACACATTTGAAAAGAGGTTGGAGATAGCCCTTTTTGAAGAGTTAACCTTAATGCATTTCAAAGTTGGACGCCCATTTTTTCAGTAGGACCGCCTCTGAGTGAGTAGCCGGCAGGGTGCCGTCTGTTAGGTATGCCCAAATGTCATCCATCCAGGTTGAGCTTCTGTCTAGGATCCCAATAGGATCCTCCTCGATGCTTCGTTTCTCCATTACTTCCCAGAAAACCGTCCTTGCTGTGTCGCAGGAAGTTGATGATGCCAGTTTAGAGAGGGCGTCCGCCTGGTTATCCTCGGACCTGGGCACTTAATTTAGGTGAAATTCTTCAAGTGTCCTGGCCTCCTACTTTACCGCTTGTAGGTACTCTATCATAGTCGGATGTGTAGCTTCATAGTCACCATGGTATTGGCTTACGATCAGTTGTGAGTCAGAACAGGCGGCTATCTTTCTTGCCCCGACTGCCTTGCACATGCGGATGCCAGCCAAAAGGGCTTTATATTCCGCCTCATTGGTTGAGGCTTGGAACTTAAACCATAGGGTGTACTCGTACCTATCCCCTTCAAGGGACTGACATATGACGTCTGCTCCACAACCATTCATTATATAGCTCCCGTCCACATAGACTTTCCAGACTTGCTCAAAGTTCTCTAGATCAGTCGGCCTGGTTAGTTCTACTATGAAGTCAGCCAATTCTTGCCCCTTCACTGCTTTCCTTGGCTCAAAAGTGATCTCTAGACTTTGGATCACGATGGCCCATATGATCATCCGGCCTGACGACTCCATGGTAGTTTGAAAGGAATGGTGTCCTTCCAACAAGTGTATTCTTCCGATAGAGGGTTCAGAATTATTAAGGCGCTAATTCTTCAGTAAGGTCAAGTGATCGGAACACCTAGGTAGAGGCCGCTTCCGATCAGTAATATCAATGTACAATTGATGTTACAGCTTAATCTTAACTGAACCCTTCGGGTCGAACCCAATCGAATCACCGATCCGAGACGACGAATTAATCCGAAAGGATTTAATGAGTCAGCAGAGTTTTACGAATACAGACGTCGGATATCGAGCCGAGGGCGTCGAGACCGAGCGTCGCGAAATCACAAAGCGACAAGTATAAACATAGCCCTAGCACCACACTGGCCTAGCCATGTGGATGCTAGGCTAGTTCAGGCTAGCATGCACCAAGCATGGCTAGGCGCAAGCCTAAGCGCACTAGGTGTGCTAGGCAGCCCATCGCAAGTGCTATGCGCACCATAGCACATCATCGCAGCCCAAACAACATCACTAGGCGCACCATGCGTGCCCTAGGATGGCTGGGCACCATCGCAGCCCAGGCAGCATCTCTAGGCGCACCATGCGTGCCCTAGGATGGCTTGGTGCCGTCGCGGCCCTAGCACAATGCTGGACGCATGGCAGGACCACACGCACCAAGCAGAGATAGTGCTAGGCACTAGCGCATGCGTGGTGCGTGGTGCTTGGCCGAGGCTTGTGCATGCATAGTGCATGGTGCAAGGCCGAGGCTGATGCGTGTGGCTGTGCGAGGGTATGCGAGGGAGAGCTAGCAAGCCAGTAGCGTCAAGCCAAGCATGCATGGCTTGCTAGCAGCACGCATGCTAGGCATTGCGTGCGAGGCATACCACCGTATTCTCTTCTTTATTACCTGTGTCTACTATTTAGGCAGAATGCCGTCACCTATTTTTACTAAGAAACTGAACGAAACTCCAGAAACGAAAGAAAGTGAGGAAGAAACAGATGTAGAAATAGAAAAAACTTCCGAAACGAAGGAGACTAAACAGGAAGAAGAGGGATTCCGGCTGTGAAATAAGCTATTATTGCAAAAATTGGTGAATATATCCAACTATCATTAAGAATTTCGTCTTTGGACCAAAAACAAGCAAGAGGCGGAATACCCACGCACCAGCACATGGCACTGGCACGCACCAGCGCCAGCAAGCAGCACCAGCACAGCCCAGCAGCAGCACGCACTAGCTGGCTGGCTGGGTGCTGGGCAGCAAGGGGGTGCTAGCTAGCAGCCCTAGCTGGCAGCCAGCTAGCCCTCCTTGACCCGGTTTTGTGCATAGAATGTGGGGACCA